GCTCCATCCAGCCTCCTCCATCCCTCGTCCAAATTTGCACTGGAGCAGCCTCCGATGAGTCTCAGTGCCTGCAAGGAGCTTGTTCCCACTTTGGCAGCCCCTGTGTTCCCCTGGCTGGGGAGGCCCTGTCCCCAGCGCTGTGACCCAAGTGACAGTCTCCATCGCACACCCCTGCTTTGCTCCCAGCCCGACTTTACCTGCAGAGACCACCACCTCGATGGTGTGCCGCAGGCTGAACCACAGCCTCCTCCTCACCCCGCAGAAGTACCGGCCTGCGTCCCCCGGCGTGACTCCGCTCAGCATCACCGTGAACGAGTGTGCTGTGTGGTTGTCCCTGATGGACACCATGCCCTGCGTCACTGTCACCTCCGAGCCGTTGGTTTGGGTGATGTAGGTGAAGCAAAACCAGAGGAAGCCCGGACGGCACCAGTACTTGGAGTAGAGCTCATAGCCTGGCTTGTAGCTGCAGGACACTCTCAGTGAGCCACCCTGCTCGGCTGTCACCTGCGTGGGGCCCGTCACTGCCCAGCCACCTGCGAGGGACAGGGAGAGGGGCTGCAAGCTTCTATGGGCATCGCCTCCGGGAACCGGGAGGGATCTGAGCCTGGCATGCTCGGGAGCACCCTGTCCTGGGAGAGGCTGTGTCCATGCACCCCGTGCACCGGGGAGCGGTGCTGAGATGAGATGTCCCCAGTCATTAAAACAGAGCCCCCATCAAGCGTTTGTGTTATTAAATGAGCAAAATGCCTTATTGCCCGGGTCCATACGACAGCAATACAAGCATATCTGAGAGATCACCCCCGTAGCCGTGCACTGCCCGCAGGAAAAGGACGGTAGCAGCTGAGCTGTTGCCGTCACCGCTGTGGGTTTCCTGGGCTGTCTCTGTCCCAGCCTCTCCTCAGCTCTGCCAGAGCCTGTGGGGTGGGAACCGCCTGACCTGTGCTCCTGGGTCTCACCTGGGAAAAGGGTCCAAACCAGGAAAATCCTCATTTTCCAGCTTCTCACTCCTGAAGTGGACTTTTCCCTGCAGTCATTCACACAGCACCTTGCGGGATGGAGCCAGGTTCATACACACCCAGGCATCCCAGGAGTTTCCCAAGCCTCTTTCTCCTGTCGCTTCCTTGGGCAGTGTTTACCCACGGACCCTGGATGTCTTTTTTAAAGGCAGTTGCTTCCTCCCCTTCACCCAGGAACCATGACTCACCCTGGGGGTGTCTCATGAGAAAGACTCTCTGCTTTTGCTCTGAAACAGCCGGTGGTTCCCAGCAAAATGCCAAAATGCAGCGGGTTCCTTGGCCGCGATGCCCATCCCAGCAGGGAACACAGCCCCTTCCCCGTGCACAGAGCCTGAAGGGCTTCGAGGGGCTTTGCAGAGGGGCTGGGCCAGAGCGGGGGTCCAGGGACCGGGACAGAGCAAATACAGGTCAGCCCCTGCAGATGGATTGGTTAGGATGGTTGGGATGCTCTCCCAGTTGTGATGGACTGGGGTGAAGGACTAGGGCGATGGACTGGGATGATGGGCAGCCAGCCCCACTCCACTGCTGCTCCCCAGCTCCCAAGCAAGCTGCCAGTGTGAGCTGGGCTGCTTTTTGTTTTCTCAAGCAGAAGTGTCTCATTTCCCCCCCAAAACGCCTTTTTTGGCACAGCCATGGGTTTTGACTGACAACACTGTTTTTCCTCTGAAAATAGATGTTTCCACTGAAAGTTTCAGAAACCCAAACACAAAAAGCAAAGCCACTTCCCTGGCAGCTGCCTTGCCGACAGCTTTCTTCCTCCATGTCCCTTGGAAAGAGCAGAAAGCACAAAGCCCTGGCCTTTCCACCCATCCCCTCCCCTCCCCGTCCTCCATCACAACAAAACAGAAGCCCTGGGGTTTCCTTCTGATCTTCGTAACCCCATTCATTCCCAGTGAATCAGCTGACCGACTGTGAGACGAGTCGCTGCAAACAGCAGCAAGATCTAAATTCACGAAGTGACTGGAGATTGCGAACCTGCTTTCTGCTGATAAACCTTCCTGGAAAGGCTGGGCACCCACCAGCCGCCTCCCCAGCTGCTCTCCTCATCCTTGCTTTGAGTGTCAGATCCCATTGCCCCCTCCCGACACAGTCCCAGCAGTACCGGGGTGCCCCAGGGACCCCCAAAGGGGACAGCAGCAGCAGAGAAAGGTTGTCCCTTTCCCCTCCAGACCGAGCCCACACAGAGGAATTTCTTTATTGGATTTATCTGAACCCAAAGCAATCTGTTTGTTGCCGAGCTGGGAAAATATCCTGCTCCTCAGCCTGAGCAGGAATAAGGGATGTGGTTTCTCGCCAGCTGAGCGGTGTGGGTCGATCTGCCAAAGCAACACAGGGGCTGGGGGCTCTCGGGGTCCCGCAGGCGAGGGGACGGTGCCAGCATGGGCTTGGGCTCCAGCATCATGGGCAGAGGCTGTCACATCGCCAGGACACTGCGGTGATGGGACAGCAGCAGCCACCTCATGCAGCACTCCTTCGCCTCCTCTGCCACAGCAAGGGTGTCCCCCGGGGGTGATCACAAGGACATCCTGGGGGGTGGCCCCACAGGGACCCTCTGCCCACGAGGGATGCTCCGTTAGGACAAGTAGGAAACCTCTTCTCCTGGGAGAGGTTGACTGGGCGTCCCCATCACCTCCTCCTGATCCAGGGTGTTTGTGTAGATAGCGTCGTCCTCCGGCTTGGGGTCCTGCTCCGTGTCACTGCAGGCACCCTGGCGAGGGGACACTGTGTCCCTGCAGCCCTGGGGCATGGCTGGGCACGGCGGGAGCCGCCCTGCATGGTCCCTGCCCACCCTGCCTGCATGCCCACACCGCCCGCACCAGGGGCCCTCACCTCTGCCCAGTCCAGCTCGTTGTCGTAGATGAGGCTGTGGTCCGGCTCCATGGTGATGCCCGACTCGTGGCGGGCAGCAGGGGCTTTGATGCGAGGGGCAGGATGCCAGAAAGAAGAGACATAGGGAGGTTTTCGGTGTTGAGGAGAGGGGGGAGCTCCCCACAGCCCCATGCCTTGGGTGGGTTTGTCCCCCAGCTCCTGGAACAGGCACTGGGGTGTGCCTGGGATGGGGCACGCACGGACATTGTTACCTTCTGTCCTCCTGCGCAGGGTGCAGAGGAGCCTGGCAGAGCCAG